TGTTACCTTCCTTAAGAATCACTCTATCTATTAAAAAAAACCGCATCAAAATCCGTTGCGTAGTTTTAAAGATCTAAGCATACATACGGACATACAGCGAAAGCGACTTTGTTTTATACTATGTATTGATAATACCGAATGTTATCAATAGTACCGTTTCATGTATGAAAGCCAAGTGCCGGGTAATTCAAATAATCTAGATACACGTTTTCCGATATTAACTTAAGAATTATTCTACTAAGTACCTATACCGGTATAGCGTAGATTATTATAGGTACTGAGACACCTTTTTTATGGCATAAGTCGGTAAACGAGCAGACGGATCACCTGATGATAAGCAATCGGCGTCGCCCATAGACACCTGGAATATCAGAGGCGTTATATGTTTTACCGGCCTTTTGGAGATTATGAGTTTGAGGATAGTTGGGGATTCAGGAATTGGGGAGATTAGGGAAGGGGAGGGTAATTGGGCCTCCGGTAAACTCATTCACACGACGAAAACGCAAGCGTTGCTTCACGTGCGTCGGTTTTCTCTGAGGCCGTGGCATCTCTCCGGTCGAACCGGCCCGTTAGTGAAGCATGGCTCTCCCACACTTAAAAAGACTGTAAACATTATGTAAATAGAAGTGGTATTTGTATATCAATTACATGTCAAATGATGTAAAGTTATGTTAAAAACATTATTTAACAACATTTTAGAAACAATAACATAAACATTATTTATTTATTAATCTTAGACACGAACGAATGGAGCCGCACCGGATATGGCGTGGGTAGTTTCCGGCGGTTCGGCGCGCCCTCTGGCGGGGTTTCCGGGCGTGGCAACAAGTGGTGGTTAATGGAAGAAACAGCTTCCTTCAGTGAAGTGCCGAGACTTTATTGTGTCTTCAGGAAGTTACAGCGCTGAAGGCACTGAAGGGTTGAGCAAGTAATGGGTAATTTTACTTTCTGATTAGATATTTTTGTTAGTTATAAACCGTTATTTAACCGGTTAAGCCGAAAACGTCTTACGCTATCAAAGGCCGATTTATGATAGATAGCGTACCTAACTGATAAAAGTAATTATAAAAATAGTACTTATTATGGACTTTACTATTACATGGCAATGGGACTCATAATATAAATAGTGAAAAGTGGCATAATGTATACCTTTGCCTACCCCTTCAGGGATAAAAGGCGTATGTATGTATGTACTCTCAATACTTAGTAAAACGCCACAATATTAAAACAAACAAATGAACACACAAAAGATTACCATACTTATACACGTTCGTACATAAAAAATCACACAAACCGAGTACTATTCTAACAAAATATTTTATTACTCCGTATGCTAACCCTTTGTGTGAGACGGCCGGATTAATATCCCCAGGCATTCAGAGCTTGCCTTTGCCCGGCCCACAGGGACCCATAATTCTGGCGCGACGACGTATGAAGAACCCTGCCGTAGTTAGGTACACGCCTAAGTGAACCCCTAATTGAGTATGGAATGTCAGTATTACTGCTGTTACGGTGTAAGGACACGTTTTTGACTGAAATGCTGAAGTTCTTTGAATATTTCACGTTATTTTATATATCATGTCGTCTACTTGTGTCTTAGTAGGTATTTTATTTTATTAATATTCTTAACATTTATGATAGAGGTCTCCTCTTAATATTAAAGTGAGTTGTGTTTCGTGGTGTGAGTGAAGTTATCGGAGGCCCAGTCCCCCCCCCCCTCCCCAGTCACCCCGATCACCGATCATTGAATCCACCACAATCCTCCTAGGCCGGTAACGCACGTGTAACGCCTCTGGTGTTCCGGGTGTCCATGGGCGGCGCCGATTGCTTACCATCAGGTGATCCGTCTGCTCAGTTACCGGCTTATACCATAAAAAGCCTTAAGTTATAATGCATGAAACGAGTCGACAATATATGAGCATTACTTAGCCAGGAATAACATCATTATGTGTAGCATAAAGTAGACACTATCTCAAAAACAAATCGAATATATTTTCAATAAGTTTAACTTCGTAATCGAACATAGAAGTTACGAGCATTCACGAATTGGTACCGACATTGACGGAATACAAACTAAAATAAATATTTCTCTTCGACTATAAATACTAAAAAGATTATTCAAAGCTAACCGATTTCTACGCAATTTCTTATTCAACGAACGTCTTTATATTTACTTTTTTTCTTATCAAAATGTTTCTGTGCACGTTCCGCAAACTACATATTCGGATATTGCAAATTACCATATAAATACTTTACTGAGTAACGGTGTTTGGAATACCTCAGAAAATATAAGTTATGAGTTTTTTGAAAAAAGCTCGCCACTACCGCCCTAAACCGCAACTCCTGTAAACCAGGATCTCTATGCAGTACATGGTTATGAAAACACAGGACTTCAGTGTCCCGGTGTTTTCATTTTTTCGGCGTGTCCAAGACACATGAATAACTGTTCTATCCCGCAACAAAAGAAATTCGACACATTAAATTAGAGGAGAAGAGATTTAGTTTAAGTAAAACATGATAGTTAAGCCTAAGTTCAGACGCGCTTAGCTCTTGCCATCTGAACTCTGGCTAAAATATCGCGGAGAGCCGACCGCGCTGGTAACTTCGAACAGACATCAACTGAACAGCTACCTATATCTAAAAGGTACAAATGTATCTGTACAAATAACATAACATCTCTAGTGTTTACTAGTATGTACCTGCTTAGTTGTCCTACGTTAACCTAGTTATTCGCAACGCAAAAGGTACTTTGTTTTGTCGGCCTAACACTAATATATTTATCAAATAACTTAATATTGCTATACCGGTTTTCTCGGAGACAATTCTAGTCTTTTCGTATCTACTCAAATATCGCAGTTCATTCATTTAGAAAACAACGCCGT